GTCCAAGCTAACTGAGCTATGCAGTTGAGAAATATCTCGAGTTTCAAAAGGCCATGTTCTTTTCTTCCTCTATTGAGATGAGAGGTTAGCCAAGGGGGGACGACTGTGCTGGTGACAAAAGAGCATCTTTGCCTGGGAGGGTAAGATAGCTGCATCGGAGATTTGTTTGAGGTGGTGTCGAGTGTTACGACTTGGGCGATCGATTAACTACTTCCTTTCACCCAATACTCGGCCTTGTTTATTTTAGTCTTTTTCAGGGTAAAATGAACCTTTTGAGAACAAAATATTAAAGGCAGTTTATCTTTATTGGAACGTCTTGATATTATGAGTATGTAAAGTCTTATTATGAAGGGCAATAGTTCTTGAAATACTTGAGCTTGCGAATATTGAGTTGAGAAAAACTTCTTGAAAGCAGATAACTGTATTTCAGAGTGAAGGTGTTTATTGTTGTCAGAGCTGGTTATTAAAGTCCACACTGTTTAATTTGATGTGCTTGATGTTATATAGACATAGCAAGCCTCTTACAGTACACTATGACTGGGAACAAAATACACAAGAAATGACTTGGGGCCAGAATTCCAGGCCCCTATTAAATAGCAATGCACTTTGTGTGCTGAACTGAAATTGTATGCCACAAACTATGGAAAAAGTTTTGGAATTTAAGTGGAAGGTTGGATAGCCAAGTGGTAAAGGTGTTGACTAATCATGACTAGTCATGAGTTTGATTCCCACATCTGACAATATGTTTAGACCACGCTTGTGTTGGTGCAGAAGTATAAGGTGTGACAACTTGTCATACAGAAGTGTGTCCCTTGGCTGCAAAAATCTTTGTTCATAGGTTTGAATCTGACATCAGCCATGAATATGGTCCATGGTTCATGATGGTTTGTCATGACAGAATTTGCTTAAAAACTAAAAAATCTAACATGCTGTTGAGGCCCGACACCAAGTCAGTCTCACAGTCCCTGAACCATATTATTGAATATTGTGCCCAGCCCTTACTGCCATGATATGGCAAGTCTAGATTATCCTTGGGTTCTGAATCTCCCATCTTACTGAGGTTCCTTTTCAATTTAGATGGAGTTGTTTGTTTCTATCAAAATTATGTATTTTCCATGACTAAGCATAAGTCTGCCCGACACCACTCACTCATTCTTCTTCTCCGCATGGAGGGGCGGTCGGGTAGCTTAATGGTTTAAGCGTTAGCTCGTCACGCCTAAGACCCGGGTTCGATTCCCGACATGGGTACAATGTGTGAAGCCCATTTCTGGTGTCCCCCGCTGTGATATTGCTGGAATATTGCTAAAAGTGGCGTAAAACCATACTCACTCACTTCCCCGGATGGGGAAAACAAGAGTGGATGTGGAGGTCAGGCGCAGTGACTGGTGTAATGCATGCCATCGACCCCGTGGGCGTGGATGAATGCTCATTATTTCAACACCTGGTTTGTGTGGTCCAGACTCACTTATTAGTGAAAGTCCAGTTATCACCCTTGGCTGGAATTTGAAGTTGTACTTTGGCTGGACTATCGAGCCAATGCATAGTCAATCAAATTCGCGTACTGAAATTGACATCCAGTTCATAAAAAGCATGGCGACTGCCTGCATATTTTTGTTGAATGCAGGATTTGCAGAGGATATGTACTGTCAACTGGCACAACAAGTATTATCCAAAATGTAACATGTTTTTAATCAAGGTGCTCAAATGATTTGATGCGCATTACGAGGTGTGACCCCTTTTATTACACTAAAGATCTTGATTATCAATCAGATCGTCTTGACTTGGTGCCGCCATTTTGTTTGAAGCAAATGCAAGTGACATGAGAGGTGGAATTTGGTTGGTCAATAGGGGAGAGGCATGGAAGGGACATAAGTCGTAATTTAGCCACTGGTGGTGCTATGATCGAGCCCTGTAATTCCAGCCTAGTTTGGCAAGGGTGGAAACTGGACTTTTATAGTCGTTAACTTCCTTGCCTCAAGAAGATGGGCACCAGCCTGCTTCCTTGACTCAGTTTGAGTGCTACATGTAGTAGAACTTCAAGGGTTTTAGTGGGTGTCCTTATATATGTTATCACTGTTTGGAGTGGTAAATGTTTCAGGTTAATTGCATCGCTGGTGATATAGCTGAACAATAAAGAAATAAACACTCACTTTTATCCATAGCTGTTATGTAACTTTAAAATTTTCTCGATTATTTACCATTTTTTTAGGCTTAGTTCTCATACAGACAAGATGGGACACGAGTTGTAGGGAATTACGCACAATATTCACCTAGCTGTGTAGATGAAGCTGAAACTTGATGTAAAACATGTGTTCAATAGGAACCAGTACTCGAGATAAGAGGCTTGTTGGCGTAAGTCACACGTCTAGGATGTGTTTGTACTCCCACACTGGCCAGTTTATACATACCAAATGCAGGAGTACAACCAGAAACATGCAGACTCATTTTCACGGCAGTACAGCTCGCGACATTAGCGTGATCAAATTTGATCGAAATCAGGTTGGTCAACTGTTACACCACCTGTGGACCATGTGAATGTGATTAATGTCATTTCAGTTGGGAGTAGGGCTTGCTTAGGTTTCCATCCCATATTAACGCAACACTTTTTTATTTTTAAGTGTTTTTGTTTAATGGACTCCAATAGCCAGAGAACAACACTTATTTATTGGACTGACTGGAGTGCCAATAGACACAATCAGACAAAACAAAATGACTAGTTTGAATTTGTTTATATTTTCCAGACTGCCTTGTCTAATATAAACTAGAAAAAATAAATGAAAATAAAATCAAACAAAACGTAACAAAATTTTCTGATAATAGTTGATGAAGTGCAAGGCGTGTAGGCTCATTATAGAAAACAAAGCCTTCTAACTGTTCTAAGTTAAAACATATGAATGTTTTTGTAGAATTTAATAAATATCCTGTGCTTTAAACAGAATTTAATTGGCATGATTTTTGCTCTCCTAATCAATGACCAAAACAACTTGATGCAAAAATTTGGAGCTAATAAAATTATTTGAACCATTTCACTTAGTTCATAACCATAAAGCATAGAATACCTATCCATGAATATAAACAGTGAGGCGACTATGCTTGTCGTCAGAGGCGACTAATGGGATCGGGTGGTCAGGGTCGTGAATTGGTTGATGCTTGTCATCGATCCCAATTGCGTGGATCGATGCTCATGATGTCAATCACTGGATTGTCTGGTCCAGACCCGATTATTTACAGACTGCCATCATATAGCTGGAATATTGCTGAGTGCAGCGTTAAACAACAAACAAACAAACAAATAAACAGTGATAACAGCATAGAATTCTTTTGCTGAACACTATTCCCCAGAGCACTAATGTTCACATCTATTTATAATGTATTTTAAAATTAAATTCAATTAAATTCAATAAGTTCAATACGAGTACATCGCTTTCCAACCCAGCTTCAAATTTAGCTGAAATTGATGGAAAATATCTTAAAAACGACACATGATCTTTCCTTAGCATCAGAAATACAGCTGTTTTTGTTGGAAGGTGAGATTGTGTGAAGACTTTTTAATGATACACAAAGGACACCTCTATTAGAGACATGACTGATCTCTGCCGACATTACACAGGTGGAATTGTCCGAAAAAATGAAACCTGATTGACACGTGGTGTTCTCAGGTTAAGGCTCCCCCAGAAACAGCCGCGCAGTTGATGTGTGCATTGTAGGCTGTGGCAAGACCACACATATGGCAGGCCAACCCATTTCTCTTTAGTCTCATGTATAGCTTATTGTTTGTTTTCATACACTTAAATCCATGTAATAACTCCCTATTCCACTGATACGGAAATTTCTGCTAATCTTGTTGTAATGGCACCAAGCAGTACCTCCCATAATGCCAAAGCGAAAGTTTGGATTTTGACGCCAGCCACTTTGTCCTGTTATGTTTTGAAACATCAAAAACCATGTGACCTTTGTGTTTGTGTAACAAAAGAAATTAAAGTCCGACCAAATGTTTACATTAGTTGTAGGTTGCCGGGGAAACTCTTAATACAATCGTGGCCAGATGCTCATTGGGTGATGGCGGGAACAAATGTTAGAGGCAAAACAATACAGCCATTAAACTCACAAATGTTAACTATATCAGAAAAAAGATGTCTCTCCAAAACCTTCTTGTGTATGGTAGGGCTGGGTACAGAATGCCATGCACGATTAAAGTACAGTTTAAATTCCTCCAATATTTGAATTGCATGTTTGAATTTTTCAGCTTATGCTACTGCTGTCTGAATACTTTCTTGCTTTTATCACCAACTCTTAAAGCGTGATACATTTCAAAGTGGCAAAATAAACATTTACTGTTAATTTCAAGTTTAATAGATACATTATTTAGGATTTCAAAGTGACATTACATCCAGACCGTCCTTAAAATTAAATTTTGGGCAGTTTGGGTTATTAGTTCAGTTTTTCAGTAAACTACGGTTAAAACAAACTCAAAGGGACCACTGATGTTAGTTTAATAAAACCGTAGTTCATTATAATCATATATGCAGCATATATACAGACCATGGCTGGGACCAAAAACATGTTGTTATGTCTATCAGTTCGTTATAAGTGTGTTCATTATAAACGTAGTTTACTGTAGTTTAATCATATTTCATTCATAAATGGAAAAGGATTAGAAACTAGTCATCCAACTTGGATACCAACTCCTTGTGTTATTGACATGATTAACAGATTTGATGTTGTCGAAGACTATTTCATGGCTTTATGTGTGATATCAGGCTTACCTCAGTTGAGTATTGGGTGGTCACGGTAGTTAGTTAACGTAAACAGATGGGGAAAACCAAGAAGGCCAAGTTTTGGCTTGTTAGTTCTTACTCTACTGTTTGGGAACTCAACAGTTTGTATCGTTGTAATCTTGAAAAATTGCAGTTGCCATTTTGTATCAATACCTTCAAGAACCCTTATCGAGAAGATGGCTTTTAGAATGTCATGTATATTTCATGAACTGTGTATTTCAGCGATGCACTTGCATTATGGCGACATGACAGACAGCACCTGCCTTGTGAAGATTGTGAGCCAGGTCCGCCCCACGGAGATCTACAACCTGGCCGCCCAGAGTCACGTCAAGGTCAGACCACTGTCTTGCAGTACAGTTGAACCTCGCTAATCTGGATGCTTGTGTTTTCTTTGATATTGTCTGGATAAACAAATTTCAAGATATATGAATCCCTTGTCAGTTACCTCCCCTGCTCAAATTGTACAGAGGTAAAAATACGTCCTGTTATATGATGTTGAAGATTATTCGAGTATTATGCGCAGTAAAAAAATACATCGTATCCCCTCAGTGAATTAAGGTGAATGAACAGGCGATAACGAACTTGGTCAATAAGAAATTTGTGATAAAACATCACTAGACTTGATGATATACAATTTAGACTGTACCAGTATTTGTTTTTTGCTAGGTATTGTTTTATATGCAGAGATTAGGATTACCTAAGTATTTTCTCATAAATAAAGTCGAAAATAGCAATCAGCTGAACACACACTTTATTTCCGGTGATTCAGTTAAGAAATATGATAGAAGTGTGACTTGGCTCTGTTTCACGAAGTGGGACAACTATTGGAAATCATGTCATGTGACTTATGTTTGTCATGTCATGTGACTGATGTTTGTCATGTCATGTGATCACTATTATGAGTTGTTTCATGTGACAACAATTGGAAGTCATGTCATGTGACTTATGTTTGTCATGTCATGTGATCACTATTACATGTCATGTCATGTGCCATACCCGTGCTCGTGGGTTTCACCGAAGTGGTAAACGTCTTAGACCTGCATCACTTCGGGCTTTCCTCCCACATTAAGCTGGCACGCCGTGATATAACTGGAATACTGTTAAAAGCGGCGTTAAACCCAACTCACTCACTCACTCATGTCATGTGACTTATGTTTGTCATGTCATGTGATCACTATTTCATGTCATGTCATGTGACAACAGTGCCAGTCATGATGTAGGTGTCTTTGTGACTGTTTAAAAAAGTTTTATATAAAGATTAAAAAAATTATATGTATAAAACTTTCCAATGAATTTAATCTTTCTTTTAATAACTTTCCTTTTCTAAATGTTCCTGAAAAGTACAGGTGATTTGGGACTCTTGTATTAATACAGGTTTAATAATTTTCTAAATACTAAAGGGGCAGATGGGTAGCATGGTGGTTAAAGCATTCGCTCATCACGCCGAAGACCCGGGTTTGATTCCCAACATGGGTACAATGTGTGAAGCCCATTTCTGGTGTCCCCCGCCGTGATATTGCTAGAATATTGCTAAAAGTGGTGTAAAATCATACTCACTAACACACTCTAAATACTAAACAAATAATATGTTTACAAGTGATATGATACAGAATCCAAACCAATAGTAGATTTAACCTGAATTTCCCAAACCCTGCTGATCCGTACTAATGCATAACACAGATGGTTGCTCAAAGCATTAAATAACCAGCATAGGCTGCCTACGAAATTACGGACATAAAATTTTCACTTCCAGACAAGTAGATTTGGACAATAGTGATTAAGCAAGTTAGGAAATGATGATTTCAAGACTTTGCACGTGATAAAGTGGTAATTCTGTCGGACATGATAGTATATGTATTTTGTCCAGATTACCCTTCATAGTGCCATTATTCCATTAAACTCGTCACATCATGTCCATGTTTGTCTTCTGACCATGAAATCCCAATCTTTTAACCACCATATTTCAATCAGAATTGATACAGATAGTTTTATTACCATCAGTATGAGGAGAATGGTGTGTGTTGACACAAATCTCTGTGTCAATTTGCTCATCAGAATCAGTCACGAAGGTTTTATATAGAAAATGACATATTTTGTGCAATTTTCCATTCCAGTGAAGCACAATGTCTAATCCAAACTCAGCACTTGAGATGAAACTATAGCAAATTGCAATTAATCCGTAGATCCGGGCCGATTTAGGAACCCAGGCTGTGGAAACTGGTCATGGATGAACGTTCGTGATCGTCGTCACCCGGCCTTTGAGACTGGTGTTTTGATTCCATGTTAAGGCAGGCCAGCGCTTGTTTAACTCAGAGCATCTCATTTGATTTAATTGATTCGAAAGGAAATCGTGTGATGTATTAATTCAAAATAGAAACGTGATATCTGTCAACCTGCGGACAACTCCATTTGCAAGTTAGGGAGCCCGAGTCCCAGACAAAGCTGCTTCCATTGGAAACAGCTGGGGGTCAATTTATAAGTTTTCCCTTCCTCTGGCCCCAAGCTCTTTTTTGTTTTGAAAATGATTCAATGAATGCGAAGGAAAATATTGCCGACAAGTCAGGCGGATAGGCCCAATCTAGGAAATTTGTGGAACTGGGATTAGCCAGCATTTGCGAAAAATCTAAAACATGATAGCTCGAAGCCGGAGGTGATATTTTCTGCAAATGTGTCCCAAGTGATGAAAATGAGATTAATCAATAAAGTTGCTATGTTTTGCAGTTTGGGCAAAAAGGCTTATGTTTCAATAAACATACGTACTGAAGCATTTGACACTACCTTGACACTTTTGAACATAAATATGATGTTTGTGTTTGTGCGCCGACAGCCTGATTGTTGCTGTCAAAAAGCCGTGTTGATGCTGGGTTTGCGTGGTTTCCACTGTGTGGTGTGTGTAAACATTAATGTTTTCTATTAAAATACCCCTTCCTCTCTACTCTATAGGCTTGATGGTCAAATGCAACATTTGTGGTTAGTTTGCGATAGGATACTCAAGCAAACGGACAGTTTTATGGCATACGGAATATTTTTCACTGTCTCATCACTTATTTCTTTAAAATCTGAGTGTTTAAATTCAGCATGGATGTGTATAGAAACATGTGTTCATCATTTAATGGACATGTGGATATTAGACAATTTTACGGACTTATAACCCAGGAAACATCAATTATGTAAGTTGGAAATTGATTATTTTTTTAGTACTCTGATGTAAATTGTAAATTTTATAATTAGATGAGTGTAATTAAAATCATTGCTTGTAATTCCATGTTTGGGCATATTTATTGTATATTTGACCACATTTAACTGAAATACAGTGAAACGTTTTCGTGTTAGTTGGAGGAATCAGTGGTGTGGCAGAAACTCATAGTTTTATGGCTATACAATTTGGCTATACTCGGCATCATTTGGCTGACGTGTTGTATAGGTGTTATGTATTACCTCGTTACTTAGGTGTCTGCGTACAGGTGTCCTTTGAGGGGCGGTGGGGTAGCCTTGTGGTTAAAGCGTTCGCTCGTCACGCGCGGGTTCGATTCCCCACATAGGTACAATGTATGAAGCCCATTTCTGGTGTCCCCTGCCGTGATATTGCTGGAATATTGCTAAAAGCGGGTAAAATCACTCACTCACTCACTCACTCATTCACACACAGGTGTCCTTTGAACTGGCCGAGTACACAGCTAATGTTGATGCTGTTGGAACGCTACGAATGTTGGATGCGATCAGGACAACTGGACTGACCGACCAAGTGAAGTTCTACCAGGCCTCTACAAGTGAACTGTATGGAAAAGTGCAGGAAATTCCGCAGAAAGAGACTACCCCCTTCTATCCACGATCCCCATATGGTGAGTGAACGTAGTAGTGTGTATATGTCTGTTTTTTTTGTATCTATGGAGTGCTGTTTGAAGAGTTCATTAGGGTGCTGTTTGCTGAATTTATTAGTGTGCTGTTTTTCAGAAATCATTAGGGTGCTGTTTTGCAGATGTCATTAGGGTGCTGTTTGCAGAATCCATTAGAGTGCTGTTTTGCAGAATCCATCAGGATTGCGGATTGCAGTGTCCATTATGGTGCTGTTTTTCAGAAATCATTAGGGTGCTGTTTTGCTGAATTCATGGAGGGTAGGACTGCTCCTATGGGTTCTCTGTGTTGAGCCATGCTGTCCTGGTGTACGGGAAGTGATAGTGTTGGAGTACTGCTGTATATAAAACCCATTCTCTCTTTCGTCAATGAACTCCGAGGGCTGCCTTGGTTAATCATGATGCTGCAATTAATGTTAATACAAAGATGAAAAGATGGATAATACATGCATTGATCAAAGAATTTTTTCCTTTGTCATGGAAGACTTCAGATCGTATTGATTGTCATTTCTTTGAGCTATGCTCTTTCTCCAATTTCCAATTTCAAGGAATTGGAAAACTGAATGAGGGCTCCACCTTAATTAATACTGAAACAAGCTTGCATTGTGCTTGTGCTGGTCTGGTCAACTCAGTAAGGTGACACCTGCCTCTTATGTTCATTAGTGGATGATGAACATTGACTCAGGTGTGGACAGGCATAATGACCAGTTTCCAGTCACATCCAACAATCACCACTTTTATTATATTAACCCCTGACACCTGGGTGTAAACGATACCCGCTATCTTCCGGCAACAAACGCCAAATTGTTGTGGTTCAGGAAAGTAGCCATTTTTGGTGCTGGGTTGGTCAGTGTGCAGGTGTGAAAGCTGACATTGATACTGTGTCCGAGTCAACAAACATGGATAGTGGGTGGGGGTGGGGGGGAATGTGGCCTGGTAAACAAACATCGACACTGAAGAAATGGGAGTGTCTTCCATAATATTACCAGTTAATTCTTTAAAGGATGATTGTGACTTCATTCTTGGGATAACAAGGAGTTTAGGCAAGGGTCTTGCCTTGTTCTTGGTCAAGGAGAGTTAAATCTGCAGTTTGAAATAAAGGTGGGCTCCAGAGTCCTTGAGTTCTCTGCTTTTGTGTTTTTTAATCTCTGGGTCTCTGAATGTTAGCTTTAGCTTGAGGGTTATTGCAGGAACCCTTTGACTTGCATGATTAACTTCAGACACTGATTCAGTGGAGGGGGTCAGTGAAAATCTTGGACGGTCACTCAGCCCATTTAAGTCTTGAGTGAAGAGTTTAATAATGGATAGTCCAGTGCGCAGTTGTTGGGATTATTTGTCAACAATTTATTTGGCATTTACCTTCATGGCAAATTTGATAATGTGATACACAGTTGAAAATAGCCACACACACACTCAACACATCCTCTCAAATATGATGAATAAATTCACAATGTTGTGATTTTTTTTACATTTTTTTAGGAAATATTTTATGATTATTGAAATATTTCAATAACTAAAGCCTTGATTTACTTTCTCATGACAAGATGCTTAAACTTCATCTATTTGAAAAATATGTTTAAACATTACTATGATAACATCTTTTTGTTAATGGGGGTTGGACTGATTTTATTCATCAGTAAACCAATCATTTCTACACAAGTTCAGCAGATAGAGTCCCAGTGTAATGAGATCCAGATTTGCTTCCTTCTGCTGGGGAGCCACAAACTTGAAAAGTCAAATTGTATCTACACATTACTTCACACGGAATTGTTATTGTTTACAGGTGTGGCCAAGCTGTACGGCTACTGGATCGTCATCAACTACCGCGAGGCGTACAACATGTTTGCCTGTAACGGCATCCTCTTCAACCATGAGAGTCCACGCAGAGGTAAGGAACACCAACCCAACACGTTGTTGTGATAGAGGTCCCCCCTCCCACACAGCCTGGGAGTGTCTGGTTTAGTTTGGAGGACTGTACATGGCTGTCCTGGGTTATAACTCCAGAAGGGTCCCAGGTGGCCCAGTTGCTGTGCAGAGTTGTGCCCCTTAGTCATGCCAGGAACCTATGATTAAGTTTCAGAACCCAGGGCCTTGTTCCACAAAGCGATTGTAGCGCTACGACTGTCATAAGTCAGTGTTAACGTATTGGAGTTACGATTGTCTTAGCGCTAGATCATTTTGTGGAACAAGGCCCAGGTCATTCTGATTATGGGGGCGGTTGGGTAGCCTAGTGGTTAAAGTGTTCGCTCGTCACGCCGAAGACCCGTTTTCGAATCCCGACATGGGTACAATGTGTGAAGCCTATTTCTGGTATACCCCGCCGTGATATTGCTGGAATATTGCTAAAAGTGGCGTAAAACCATACTCACTCACTCACTCATTCTGATTATGTTTGTCAGCACCATATATGTGCTTCCTCCCACAACTGACACGCAGTGATATAGGAACACAGTTCAAAGCGGCGTTAAATCCAACACACTGTAACTCCAGAATTGGAAAACAATATGAACAGTTGGTTGAAAAAGAGTAACAAAGAGAAAACCGTTGATTTTAAAAGGTCTTATTTTCAACAGAGTTTGATCATAATTATTATGTGATGTACCCGCGAACTGGTTTAATGCGATGAATCACGAAAATAATGGCATGAGTGAATGGAGAGTATGGCTGGCGGCCCAACATGAAGGACGTGACACTCAGGTGGAAGATTACCCAACCACTGATGACAACCCCTCTAGTTTTTCCCCCTCTGAAGCCTTTACCATGACAGGTACTTGCTTTAAACATGGTGAGAAACACAAACATTAAAATTTGTTTGACATTGTCAAAACAGTCAAAGATGTTTTCTTTGATTACTCATTGTGACTGGGTACAAAGGAAAGTCACATCGGGGGAGATTTCCTGTCGTAATTCCTCTGTCAAGCTGTATTGCCTCCATGTTTATGCTGGCCAATGCGTCCTTTCCCTTTGCACTGACAAGGAAGCGATGTTGCGGTAATCGGTGATATTTTTGACATTTACGGACAGTAGCCCGGCGCGAGGCGTGACTTGTGCAGGAGTGTAAAGGACTTAGTCCCTTCCTATTAACGCCACGTCAAGGCTGCTTTTTGATCGCTAATTGCATGAAAGCTGATACAACATACTATTAATTTTGTCAAACAGATACATTACTAGGATCTCCCTGTCCCACCTCGGCCCAATTTCACCTCAAAGGCTCTGTGGGATTCAGGATCCCAGCAAGTTTTGTCCCACTTTTTTAGCTGATATGATTTTTATTACACATCCAGCTGTGATAAAACAAGCTGGTCTGTTCCAAGTAGTTTTCTGATTGAATATTATGAAAATATGAACTAGATATGAACCAAACCAGTTGTTGTTTTGTGACAATTTTATTATTATTTTTTATGGTTGCAGCTTTTTATTTTGGTTGTATTTTTAAAAAAATCAAACCCTAATAATTGCTTGTTTATAACAGACTTGGCAATCTCGTCCAGTTCATTTACCAGTTAATGAAATGTGATTTAAATGAAAAGAGAATATTAATCACAATTGGCTACATTTTCCTGTTTTTCTTCATTGAGTAAGCAGCTGTTTCAGTGGCATTGATGCATTGTTGACATTTCATTGTTGACAACAATGTAGTGAACACAGCTGATAAATAAGGTACTTTGTTGTTTACCCCACTCTCGTTAACAGGTAGTAATAAATTCAAGTCACCAGAAAATAGTGGGTAATTTATTCATTGAAGCTTACAGTATGTATTTTGGTTCATAATTCGTTGAAATTGCATAAATATTTTGATATATTAGCTGCTGTTTGATTTCTAATTATTGACTACTGAGTTTTGATGAGTTAATTGAGTGTGTTTGATTTAGGGGTAATGAGAGGGCAGAATAGCATGCAAACTAGGTGCATGTCAATGGGTAGTGCAGATTGTGCCCATTGACGTGTGGCGCACGTCGCGCATGCAGTTATCGGACCTTTTATATATGTCACTATTTTTAAAAATTCTGGTCTAAATATCTTTTGAGTTGTCTATGGACTATTGCCTCTGTTGTGTCCTGTGCAAGGTTCCCTATAATTTGCAGCAGTCCTATTATCATAATAACTAGTTGTTAGGGACATGTCTCCAGAATTGCAGGTTTCATATCAGGTCGACCTGCTTGCACCATGGTTGATAATAGACGTCTCAGGCCAGCGGTGAACACGCCCCGAACACAAGTTGTTTTGTAATTGGCAAAGTGCTAATTAGTATCAAGTTTGGGATGAAATATTGTTAATGGGTTCTTAGAGTAAAAATATTGATTTTTGGAATGAAAAAAAAAAACAAATGAAAGAAACTATGCCATGTTTCAAGTTGTCTCAGTTTTTGAATGTCTGGTTATAGTGGTTTGTGTTTCATGCTAGAAAATAGTAAGTGCAGTTGATAAAAGTCTTTATGTCCCTTCACTTTGAATTACCTTATTTTCTTGAGTATGGTGCACACTTTTCCCTAAAAAAATCCAGTTGTGTTGAGTTGGGTGCGCATGTTCCATGTCTACAATGAATTTTGATGTTTTTTCCCCTGACAATAACACTGGAAATACAGTGTCCTTACTGAACTACGCAATTTAATCCTGTTATTAAACTGTCTGGTTATAAAAAGTGTTCATTGTATATCTGGGCTTAAGTTTGTAATCTTTTTTATTATTTTTTTCTTCAAAATTTTATTTAATATTGTTTACATTAATTTGCGGGAAATTGAGTTTGTACTGTATGGCAGATCACACCAACTGACACTTATTCACAGCAACCACAATCAAGTTGCTATTGTTGTCTTGACAGAAAGTGGATACATATACCATGTAGTCTTTGAAAGGCATTTAGAAGTGATACACATAAGGAAGAGAATTTATGGATGTCACCGTCTTTATTATGGGGGGCATGGGTGGCCCAGTCATCTAAGGCACCGCAATTCGCTGTGCTGTGTTGCGTCCCTTGGGCATGCCAGAAACCTATGATTGTGGGTTCGAATCCCGGTTCGCCCTGTTTATGTTTCTAGGTTTGTCAGCACCATACCCGTGCTTGTGGGTTTCACTTAGTCTGAGCCCTGCATCACTTCGGGCTTTCCTCCCACACTAAGCTGACATGCCGTGATATGTTAAAAGCGGCGTTAAACCCAACTCACTCACTCTTTATTATGAGTCACAACGTTTTGGAGTATATGCTTACTCCTTCATCAGGTGAATGAATGCCATGAGGCAGAGAGCATATATATGTACAGTTAAGGACAACAAAAAGCTTTTCTTGTCAAGTTTCCACTTTTGTTATCTTATTACTTTTTGTTGTAATATATATATATCCTGTACCATGCTCATTATTCAGCCTTGGTTAATAACACTATAAGGATGTATACCGAAATGTCACCTTTACAGTAAATAAAGAAGATGTTATCCATAAATCATCTCTACTTTCTTTATGAAAGTATATGCAAAAAAATATTCCCAACATATTCATGATGCCTTACCTTTTTCGTTCAGTATATGATAAGGTATCGCTGACATAAAACATTCTCCCTGCCCAAACATGTTATTTAAGAGAGCTTGTGTACTAAATGTTAAGGAAACAATTTAGTCATTTCAGAATTATTTTTTGGGAATTTCTGTGTCAAGTGGCAGTGGTATTAACAGGATGAATTCAGTGTTTCAACTTTTCTTTCTGCTTCCAAGACGAAAGACGAATCTTTTTGTAAAAAACCCAGTAATGTGAGCTACATGTCACACTCTACCAACAGCTTTGAAAGAACAAGTGTAAGTGACAGATTGTTTGAACACAACACCAATATCTAAATAAACCCAGGTGTAAACTTATTTTCCTCACTTACAACATGAGAAGCAAGCCATTAACCTTTGCTCGTTGTGTGCCAGGGAGGTGTAACCATGGTAACCGATATTACTAATAATTACCATGCCACGATTTAGCCACATTTGTCCAAAAATGGCACAAAGTGTATCAACAATTCATAATTATTGCAACTGCCGTCCTGGCTGCTGAAACAACGGATCAGTATCATTCCGTACCGAGTGTCGTCGCACCCAATGTTGCCATCTCACCATCCAGTCGTAGCTTTTACCTTTCAATTAGGCAGATATGCTTCTCCGGCAGCACCAACACAGAAACAGCAATCTAGGAGTTACATGATAATTACACTGATTACCACAATCACAAGACTATTCTCGTTGTGTATACACCCTAGAAGTGGCCATTGAGAACTGTCAGGGCTGGGAGGCCTCAAGTGCTCCACTAATCAAGTGTGTTAAAGAGGAATCGGTTGATGGATGGGAGGAGAGGGCTCGAGTACAGATAGCCGTAATTATCGTAATTATAGTATTATGTTAGCGCATTGTGTCGTCAAACTTTCTGCCTGAATGGGTGGAACAACACTGAAGATTTTGGCCTCAAGGTGTTCTTTTCGTGCCTAGATGGTTGTCTTTGTGTGTTTAAGGCATGGGTTTAGGCAACATAAGATCTTCGCACCCTTGTCAAGCTTTTTGAGCTGTCTGGGTGTTTTGTTAAGTTTGTATGTGGCTGCTTCATGCACTTAGCATGTCATTGGAAAGCTGGGTTGCAAACATTACTGGCAGTTAGATGTTAAATACAGATTCATGCTTTATTGAAGAGATGTACACATGAATAACAATCTATATCGGGATTGATTTTGGCTTTTTATTTATTTTGCTATTAGGCATGTATTGGGCTTACTTGCTGTGAAATCATTAGCTTGAAAGGATAGTTTTGTCATTTGGAAAGGATTTCGTAAACGTTAATATGAATAGCGACGGTATTAACGATTAAATATGCTGAAGTGCTTAAAAGGAATTGTGTTTCCCTAATTTTTAAAATATTTTTTGTGTGTCAATTCTGTAGGAAAAAGGTATGTTTTTAGTTCTAAACATGCATCACATGGCTTGATCGTTGTACATTGTGAAAGTGGTTGTATCAAGTTCAGGTGGGATATTAAATTACTGAGTGAATTTGATGACCTTCTGACTGAATCATAGTCCTAATCTCCCAGTGAGAGATTTATCACAAGCATATAGAGTTGCTTCCCTTTGTCCGTAGATAGTGGCCGTGGTGGCACTGTGACAGGGCGTAACTCTGTAAGGCTAATGTGTCTTGGAGAAGGAGATGAATGCATGTTGACATTATAGCAAATTGGTTGAAATAACAAAATCTGGCCTTCGTCACAAAGTGAATTAGAATAGTTCTAGTCTTTGAAAGGCATTTAGAAGTGATACACATAAGGAAGAGAATTTATGAAGGAACACCTCATAATAAAGAAGTTGACATCCATAAATTCTCTTCCTAAGAATAGTTCTGTTGTGGCCATTTTGAAAAGATTGCGAACAAATTTGGCTGATATATTTCTCCGCCACTGCTAACACCTCCAGATCAAGAACCCAAATCAGTCTGTCAGACATCAATTATTGTTTTCATGATACAAACTATCTACTTTTAAAACAGAATAGATATACTTGTTTTGTTTTTCTCACTTTAATTAAAAGAATCACTTGATATGCCAAATGAAACAAAAAATGTTTTTCATTTCATTTTATTTTATTCTCTAAAAAATGTGAGATCTTCGACTCCGTGTATAAGATGACCCCCCTTCCTAGCCCCCTCATTTTAGGTACGAAAAACTCGCCTTATACACAGCGATATACGGTATGTTAAATGGTTGATGAACAATATGTCGACCATGTAGCACGACTCTGCAATGATGGGTTTGTCTGACCCAGGTCAGATAGATCGTATATATACTGGAGCTAGTAGACTTTGTGGACAGGAGTGTTATATGGATATTTAGGGTTTTACCAGACATAAAATACTGCGTCCTGTATGCATACATCTGGAGTATGGCAAGGTCATTATCCTTGGTGAAAGTGCATGACCCTTCATTTCTGAACAATATGGTACCACTGTCCTATATTTGTGAACAATATGGGTAACTGAGTCCTATAGTTCTGAACAATATGGCTACCTTAATCCTAAAGTTCTGAACAATATGGCTACCCTAATCCTATAGTCCTGAACTATATGGCTACCCTAATCCTATAGTTCTGAACAATATGGGTAACCCAGTCCTATAGTTCTGAACAATATGGCTACCCTAATCCTATAGTTATGTACAATATGGCAACCCTAATCCTATAGTCCTGAACAATATGGCTACCCTAATCCTATAGTTATGTACAATATGGCAACCCTAATCCTATAGTCCTGAACAATATGGCTACCCTAATCCTATAGTTGGGAACAATATTCCTTTAGTCCTGAACAATTTGGCTACCCTAATCCTTTAGTTCGGAACAATATGGGTAACCCAGTCCTATAGTTCTGAACAATATGGCTACCCTAATCCTATAGTCCTGAACAATATGGCTACCCTAATCCTATAGTTCTGAACAACATGGGTAACCAGGTCCTATAGTTCAGAACAATATGGCTACCCTAATCCTATAGTTCTGAACAGTATGGGTAACCAGGTCCTATAGTTCTTAACAATATGGCTACCCTAATCCTATAGTCCTGAACAATATGGCTACCCTAATCCTATAGTTCTGAACAGTATGGGTAACCAGGTCCTATAGTTCTTAACAATATGGCTACCCTAATCCTATAGTCCTGAACAATATGGCTACCCTAATCCTATAGTTCTGAACAGTATGGGTAACCAGGTCCTATAGTTCTGAACAATATGGGTAACCAGGTCCTATAGTCCTGAACAATATGGGTAACCCAGACCTATAGTTCTGAACAATATGGGTAACCCAGACCTATAGATCTGAACAGTATGGGTAACCAGGTCCTATGGTTCTGAACAATATGGGTAACCCAGACCTATAGATCTGAACAATATGGGTAACCCAGATCTATAGTTCTGAACAATATGGGTAAGCAGGTCCTTTAGTTCTGAACAATATGGGTAACCCAGACCTATAGTTCTGAACAATATGGGTAACCCAGACCTATAGTTCTGAACAAATGGGTAACCAGGTCCTATAGTTCTGAACAATATGGGTAAGCAGGTCCTATATTTCTCATACCTGGTCCACCAGTACTGTATCCTTGATGAACATAAATTTGAAGCTCTCTGTGGTCAGTCTCAAATGTTATCTAATTGCAATAGATATTGAAACTGATCAAAGCATGTCAAGACTGTGATATTGTGGGGAAAGGATGATTTGGTGTATTTTTCCAGGATGATGTCAAACCTGTATGCTCATCTTTCCTCACAGGTCCCACATTTGTGACACGAAAGATCACCCGCGCTGTGGCGAAGATCACCCTGGGGCAGCAGGAGGAGATGCAGCTGGGGAACCTGGACTCCAAGAGAGATTGGGGGCATGCCAAGGACTATGTAGAGGTAGGGGTGACCTTGACTCCAAGAGAGATTGGGGGCATGCCAAGGACTATGTGGAGGTAGGGGTGACCTTGACTCCAAGAGAGACTGGGGACTATGTTGATGTAGGGGTGACCTTGACTCCAAGAGAGATTGGGGACTGTGTGGAGGTAGGGGTGACCTTGACTCCAAGAGAGATTGGGGACTGTGTTGATGTAGGGGTGTCCTTGACTCCAAGAGAGATTGGGGACTGTGTGGAGGTAGGGGTGACCTAGACTCCAAGAGAGATTGGGGACTGTGTGGAGGTAGGGGTGACCTTGACTCCAAGAGAGATTGGGGACTGTGTTGATGTAGGGGTGACCTAGACTCCAAGAAAAATTGGGGACTGTGTGGAGGTAGGGGTGACCTAGACTCCAAGAGAGATTGGGGACTGTGTTGAGGTAGGGGTGACCTAGACTCCAAGAGAGATTGGGGACTATGTGGAGGTAGGGGTGACCTTGACTCCAAGAGAGATTGGGGACTGTGTTGATGTAGGGGTGACCTAGACTCCAAGAGAGATTGGGGACTGTGTTGAGGTAGGGGTGACCTAGACTCCAAGAGAGATTGGGGACTATGTTGAGGTAGGGGTGACCTAGACTCCAAGAGAGATTGGGGACTGTGTTGAGGTAGGGGTGACCTAGACTCCAAGAGAGATTGGGGACTGTGTTGAGGTAGGGTTGACCTAGACTCCAAGAGAGATTGGGGACTATGTGGAGGTAGGGGTGACCTTGACTCCAAGAGAGATTGGGGACTGTGTTGATGTAGGGGTGACCTAGACTCCAAGAGAGATTGGGGACTGTGTTGAGGTAGGGGTGACCTAGACTCCAAGAGAGATTGGGGACTATGTTGAGGTAGGGGTGACCTAGACTCCAAGAGAGATTGGGGACTATGTTGAGGTAGGGGTGACCTAGACTCCAAGAGAGATTGGGGACTATGTTGAGGTAGGGGTGACCTAGACTCCAAGAGAGATTGGGGACTATGTTGAGGTAGGGGTGACCTTGACTACAAGAGAGATTGGGGGCATGCCAAGGACTATGTGGAGGTAGGGGTGACCTTGACTCCAAGAGAGATTGGGGACTGTGTTGATGTAGGGGTGACCTAGACTCCAAGAGAGATTGGGGACTATGTGGAGGTAGGGGTGACCTTGACTCCAAGAGAGATTGGGGACTGTGTTGATGTAGGGGTGACCTAGACTCCAAGAGAGATTGGGGACTGTGTTGAGGTAGGGGTGACCTAGACTCCAAGAGAGATTGGGGACTATGTTGAGGTAGGGGTGACCTAGACTCCAAGAGAGATTGGGGACTGTGTTGAGGTAGGGGTGACCTAGACTCCAAGAGAGATTGGGGACTGTGTTGAGGTAGGGTTGACCTAGACTCCAAGAGAGATTGGGGACTATGTTGATGTAGGGGTGACCTTGACTCCAAGAGAGATTGGGGACTGTGTTGATGTAGGGGTGACCTAGACTCCAAGAGAGATTGGGGACTGTGTTGAGGTAGGGGTGACCTAGACTCCAAGAGAGATTGGGGACTATGTTGAGGTAGGGGTGACCTAGACTCCAAGAGAGATTGGGGACTATGTTGAGGTAGGGGTGACCTAGACTCCAAGAGAGATTGGGGACTATGTTGAGGTAGGGGTGACCTAGACTCCAAGAGAGATTGGGGACTATGTTGAGGTAGGGGTGACCTTGACTACAAGAGAGATTGGGGGCATGCCAAGGACTATGTGGAGGTAGGGGTGTCCTTGACTCCAAGAGAGACTGGGGACTGTGTTGATGTTGGGGTGACCTTGACTCCAAGAGAGATTGGGGACTATGTTGATGTTGGGGTGACCTTGACTCCAAGAGAGATTGGGGACTATGTTGAGGTAGGGGTGACCTTGACTCCAAGAGAGACTGGGGACTATGTTGATGTAGGGGTGACCTTGACTACAAGAGAGATTGGGGACTATGTTGATGTAGGGGTGACCTTGACTACAAGAGAGACTGGGGACTGTGTTGATGTAGGGGTGACCTTGACTACAAGAGAGATTGGGGATGTTGTTTCAGATGGTATGGATGTTGTTGTTGCAGGTGATGTGGATGTTGTTGTCGCAGGCCATGTCAATGTTGTTGGTCGATGGTGATGTGGATGTTGTTGTTGCAGGTGATGTGGATGATGTTGTTGCAGGCGTTGTAGATGTTGTTGTTGCAGGCGATGTGGATGTTGTTGTTGCAGGTGATGTGGATGATGGTGTTTCAGACGATATGGATGTTGTTGCAGGTGATGTGGATGATGTTGTTGCAGGCGATGTGGTTGATGTTGTTGCAGACGATATGGATGTTGTTGCAGGTGATGTGGATGATATTTCTGCAGGCGATATGGATGATGATGTTGATACTGTTGTTGTTGCAGGCGATGTGGATGATGCTCCAACAGAAGGAGCCTGAGGACTTCGTGATCTCAACCAATGAATACCACAGTGTCAGGGAGTTTGTCGAGAGGGCATTCAAGATTGCCGACATAGACATTGTGTATGTATATGTACACATATTTTATTTAGATTTCTTTGCATCTTTCACCAATATCTTTGGAATGATTTGTTTATTTGATGTTTAATTCAGCACTCAGAAATATTCCAGCTATATGTGGCGGCCTATAATTAATCAAGTATGGACAAGAAAATCCAGTAATTAATGGTAGCGATGAGTAATGATCCATTAGCCTAGTTGTTTAAGCGTTTACTCGTCACGCCGAAGACCTGGGTTCGACTCCCCACATTTGTACAACGTGTGAACCCCAATTCTGATAACCACCGCCGTGATATAGCTGGAATCATGCTGAAAGTGGCGTAAAACCATAGTCACTCACTCACTCACTCACTCTACAGTGGACCAGTGGGATTCTGGGATAGCACCTGTTTTACCCCCAAAGGCTTGGATAATACAATTTTTATTCCTAATATAGGATATTGACGATATAGTAACACATTCAGCTGATAATCTCTATTTAATATATAGATTCTGGTGACTTGTTCTTATATTTCTGAAGAGGGAACAAATGGATTATGACATGTAAAATTATGGCATAAAGAACAAGGAAATTTAGAAGAAAAATATAAATTGAATTTTTCAATTTAAACAGAATATGCGCACACATATTTTCACGTTTGATTCCTGTACTGAATATGATGTGTCATATCGTTTACCCCATATTTAGATTTATTTAGATTTGTTTAGATTTATTTAGATTTGTTTAGATATGCCCATAAACAAGCAACAAGAACCATGTGCACGGCTCTCTGTCCAAGAGCCCTTATTTCCCTGTTAACGGTGCCAGGCAAGGGGTGGGAGGCAAATATTTAGTGTTATCAACCTCCGCTTGTTATGTTAGTGATAAAAGATTATCAATAAATATTGAATTTCCATGGCCCTTTGATAACCAGTCACATAGTTTGGCAATATAAGAATTTATTTATGTAATAAAAGGATTTTGTTTAGAATCTTGCTTTAAAAAAAACTTGTGAAGTTCTGGTTTTTTCTTTGGTGATATAGCCATATCTGTCCGCCCACTGCGGGCATCGCCATGGCGATTGTGTGAGATGTTTGAAGTGCGGGCAGTAAGTGCAAGCTGACTTCACATCAATTAAGGAGTTTATTGTTGGCTAGTACATATTAATCACGGAGAGTTAAATCGGTGTGACTGTGTCTGTAGACACCTCGTTAGAAACGATGATGTAAACTTCCAGGGTTGACTAAGGGCAGAGGACAAGTATTCCATTCCAACACTGTCTGCCTGACAACTACACCAATCTGGCTAGTTGAACATGTAGACAATGAATCTTTGTTCCAACTTTCATTCATTACATGTTTGGAATTTATTCATCAATGAATATAGATTTATTTACTCAGTGAATCAATGCCGGGGCTGAACATGGCCGCTTGTATGTTAGTCCAAGGCAAGTGAAAATCTGGAGTTGAGTTCTCATCCTTAACGTTTTGTATTGTAACTCAAGTGCGAACAGTATCAATTTTGATGCGACAAACACGTGACATCACATTGGTAATTATGACGTCGTGATATAAGGCCAGCCGACTTCAATGGATGTTTACAAGACGGTGACTTCCAATAAGATTTCTTTTTGCAAGCTAGTAAAAAATTTATTACAAGGATTTTTCAATTTGCATATGTAAGTCTGAGGCCTGCGATATGTTGTTATATTTCATTCCTTTTAGAATTCTGTTAGCTCCTTAACGTTTTTTTTAATATGATATGTGGAATATGGTATATAGAGCTTGGGGATTCCTTGTTGTAATATACCACTCAAAAAAGGTTAAGGACCACCCAATTCTTCCATATTACTGGGTGGTCCTTAACTTCTTTTGAGTAGTATAAATGATTGAGGCTGAAAAAAAAAATTCAGTTTGTTTTTCACTGGTCAATTATATGGATTAACATATATTTGTTGAGTTGATGTAGATATATATCAGTACTTATTGTACAGCACTATTCATCCCGTTCATACAAAGATTAGTTGGTAGCAAACTATAAACAGAAAATTGCATGAGAACGTTTTTGCATTTATGTACTTATTTCATTAAGTGACCACCACTAATTTGAAGCTTTTTTTAATATTTTAACGAATATACAGTGTTTTGTAGATGTAATTAAGATAAGGGCCACATTTCTTTTCTTAGCACAATAAATCCTACTTTTGTCAAGCGTGTTTCGTAAGAGTGCATGTAAGGCTCTTGTTGCCAAGTGATGGCTTGTGGGAAGGAGTGTACCTGCATGCACCTCGTCCGACTGCCGTTATCAACAAACCTGTCTTCTGTCCTGGCTTTCCATGTATTTAGAACCGTTTAAAGAGAAAACTGTTGAATTTATGTGGCAAGGAAGTATGTTCAACACTAAGAAGAAAAAAAGAAGAAAAAAAACGTTTTGTCTTATCGTATGTTCGACCATGGTTGAAGTCCCATCTCAGTGCTTCCTCTGATTCAAATATGTATGTGTCCCGATAGCGATGGTTACCATAGTTATAATGTGCAGAAATGATCGCGAAATAACCTGGCTCACCCTCTGTCCCTGAACACGAGTTTTTCCTTACATTACAATATGTCATTGTTAGAATTGGACGGCAATTAAGATCGCAACCCAACCAACGAAAAACCTTGTTATTGACAAGCGGGGACTGATTAGGAAGGGAAATATGACAAACGTTGAAAGAATGGCCGAAATGATGTGGCGTTATGACAGTAGGCCCGGGATCTGGCACCGGCTTCGAGTGCACTGTGTGTTAAAACATGTGTATTAATCACCTAGTTCCATACCGATACTGACGTTTATGTGCAGTTTTGCCACACATACACTGAGATCTGTCACGAGGGGATTTATGAGACCTTCTTTCCTGGTTTTGTTATCAGGAGTCTTCTGTGCATATGGTTTTGTAATCAGCCTCCCCTGAAGAATTTATGTTTTTCGTGCTTTTTTGGAGGGCTTGGACATTAATGTTGAACACATTTGGGACCAAATATTAGCTTTCACCGTTTCATGGGTGATGCCTAGTCATGCTCCTTGCACTTGCTAACTCTGTCCCGAAAACAGAGGGTATTGGGACAGGGGATCATATTCCTTTGAATCAGGCCATTGATCTGACTTGGTGTAGGGAAACCCATGGCACTGTCCGATGACTTTTATTCCTAGCTAGGTGTTCTCCCATTTGGGAATTTGGGAATTTGGGGTAGGGTAGTTTTCCATTGGCAGTTATTGTAATGGTTAGAATCTACAATGGATCTACATTTGTATCTAGACCTGCTCAGAGGCTGATATTCGGCCCCATGTCTGAAGTGATTGTGAGTTAAAACTCCCAAATCATGTTTGCGATAAGGTGTCCGAAACTCCCATCCTTTAGCAAAGATTTACGACAGTCATAGTGCTATGACAATCGTAATTCCCATACTTTAGCATAGACATGCGACAGTCGTAATTCCCATACTTTAGCATAGACTTGCGACAGTCGAAGTGCTATGACAGTCGTAATTCCCATACTTTAGCATAGACTTGTGACAGTCATAGTGCTATGACAGTCGTAATTCCCATACTTTAGCATAGACTTGCGACAGTCATAGTTTGAAGATGATTGTAACTCCCATATTGCTGTCCCTGGCTGTGATATTGCTGTCCCTGGCTGTGATATTGCTGTCCCCGGCTGTGATATTGCTGTCCCATGCTGGAATATTGCTGTCCCATGCTGGAATATTGCTGTCCCATTCTGGAATATTGCTGTCCCATTCTGGAATATTGCTGTCCCATTCTGGAATATTGCTGTCCCATTCTGGAATATTGCTGTCCCATGCTGTAATATTGCTGTCCCATGCTGGAATATTGCTGGAAGCCTCACTCACTCATTGACTCATGTATGACTTTGTTGCAGCTGGGAAGGTGAGGGGGTCAAAGAGGTTGGGAAGGACAAGAAGACCGGAACTGTTCGAGTGCGGGTCAACCCCAAGTACTACAGACCTACAGAAGTGGTAAGTTGGAATTAGAGTTTCCTTTTTGATAAAATTATCCAAGGTTTTCTTGATTGCCTATCTTGGTTTCATTCAATTCATTTAATTCTAGAGTAGAGCAATTGAATAACTGGTTTAACTGACACCTCCCTCACCACCCTCAAACTACCCAACATCATTCTAGACTGGAGAATTGGACAAATTGGTTTTGACTGGCACCTCCCTTGCCACCCTCACAACTACCCAACATCATTCTAGAGTGGAGAATTGGACAAATTGGTTTTGACTAGCACCTCCCTCACCACCCTCACAACTACCCAATATCATTCTAAAGTGGAGAATTGGACAAATTGGTTTTGACTAGCACCTACCTCGCCACCCTCACAACTACCCAATATCATTCTAAAGTGGAGAATTGGACAAATTGGTTTTGACTAGCACCTCCCTTGCCACCCTCACAACTACCCAACATCATTCTAGAGTGGAGAATTGGACAAATTGGTTTTGACTAGCACTTCCCTTGCCACCCTCACAACTACCCAACATCATTCTAGAGTGGAGAATTGGACAATTGGTTTTGACTAGCACCTCCCTTGCCACCCTCACAACTACCCAACATCATTCTAGACTGGAGAATTGGACAAATTGGTTTTGACTGGCACCTCCCTTGCCACCCTCACAACTACCCAACATCATTCTAGAGTGGAGAATTGGACAAATTGGTTTTGACTAGCACCTCCCACGCCACCCTCACAACTACCCAATATCATTCTAGAGTGGAGAACTGGACAAATTGGTTTTGACTAGCACCTCCCTTGCCACCCTCACTGACTGATGAGTTGTAGTCGTGAGGCAGACGGGTTATACAATGCCTGTTTCTGCAGATATGGCAGACATATTCCATATCCATATTAATTACGTTACATCATGCCCTTGTCACACTGCAGCACCAAGGCAAGTAGAAACAGATCCATTTGTGTCGGGTTTAGTGGCATTCAGAGTTTGCTTTATCAATTACAAAATATTATGTATTAAATCCCATTTTGCTCGTTTAGTGACATTTAAGTACAGGTTTGGGCATCAAGGGACGGTGAGAGGTGTGGGGTTCACACCAGACTCACCCAGCTGACGAATGACGTCACCTAGGAAACAATCATGGGCTGTGGGTGAAGCCTCCTCCATCACCACTGCTAGACTGGTGATTGTCTGTCAGAGATAGAAACCCCGGAGTACTGGTGGTGGAGGGGGGGTGTTGTTGTTTACTTAGCAGTTAACCACTAACTTGGTACAGAAGTTAGATTTTCAACACGTGCACGATGTGTTAAAAGTGGAAAAGACTTCCCTCCATGTGCCCAGCGGTGAAACCAGTGCTGGTTGTTGGAGGCGACTGAGTGGATTGGGTGGTCCGACTTCGTGGCTGGCTTGTCTCCATGTCCAATTAGCATGGATGGCTTGCTCATACCAGTTACTGAATTGTCTGGTCCAGACTTGATTTGCAGGTTGTCATCATATAACTGGAGTACTGCTCTGCTGTATTTAACAACAAACAAACAAGAATTGTCTGGTCCAGACTTGATTTGCAGGTTGTCATCCTATAACTGGAGTATTGCTCTGCTGTATTTAACAACAAACAAACAAGAAACTATCTATCAAAGTTTGAATGACATATTATGTCATATTTGGATTACACTTTCTTACTGAAGAACAAGAGGGGCGGTCGGGTAGCCTAGTAGTTAAAGCCTTCGCTCGTCACTCCCAAGACCCGGGTTCGTCTCCCGACATGGGTACAATGTGTGAAGCCCATTTCTGGTGTCCCCCTCCGGGATATTTCTGGAATATTGCTAAAAGCGGCATAAGACCATAGTCACTCACTCACTCACTCACTCACTCACTCACTCACTCACAGCCAAAAATAGTACCAGAATGTGTATACTCACTCACAGCCAAAATAGTACCAGAATGTGTATACTCACTCACTCACTCACAGCCAAAATAGTACCAGAATGTGTATACTCACTCACTCACTCACTCACTCACAGCCAAAATAGTACCAGAATGTGTACTTGACTAAGAAAGTGTATTCCCAAATATGACACGGCCTGGTCGCAATCAGGGGTCATTTTTTTAAGGCAAGCTTGTTATGAGGACGTATATGATTACTTCCAGGATGAAAAGAAGGTCATAGGTACTTTTTTCATTTTGCAGTTGTACTATCTTGTCGTGACATTATTTACTTTCTGCTTTATATTTGGCATAAGATTTTGTTGCCATGGCAATGGCCCCAAGACATGTGAATTTTTTTCGTCATGTTGCAGCATAAACTTTCTTAATTTTGATGAAGCTTGATTATTAGGATTCAAAAATGTGTTACTACAATAGCATGAAAGAGTAGCAATCTCTGTTCAATTCAAGGTTTGTCTAAATATTGAATCTGAAAACTTGGCAAGTTGACACTTTCTCACAAATAAGGAACGCTTGTTATATTTTCTTGAATTTTACATACACTCTTGCACAAGTCATGTGTCATTGATTGTGTTTAAGTATAGCTGTGTTGTTGTTTTTTCAAACTTTTGGAATTCCAACTTTGTAAAAAATGGCATGATTATCAGGTATGTTCCTGGTTATGTTAGCGGTTGTCTGTCAGACATTGGTATTTTCTCTGTATATTTTGTAGTGTCTGTAAGTATCTAACAACAGCTGACTGTTTGTGCTGTAATATAGTTTACAGGTTGTCCCAAGCTACTAATCGTTGTAGGAGTTGTTTGAATAACCTTGCACAGACAGCAATATTCCAGCTATATGACGGCGGTCTGTAAATAATCAAGTCTGGGCCAGACAATCCAGTGATCGATATCATGAGCATCGTTCCATGCAATTGGGATCGATGACATGCATCAACCAAGTCACTTATAAGTGTACAAGTCATATACTACTATCTGTAAGTTTTGAAAGGATTTGATAAAACTTTCTAGATATTGATTACCAGGTATTTTCATAAGTGAAACTGATACTAGCAGTTTAATTACGTCATTTTCAATCAAGTTTCGTCTGCTTTCTCAGAAAGGGAAAAAGGCTGTTTACTTTGCAATACTTTATTTTTGTGTCCAGTCAATAAGAACATATACCTGCCCTCATTGTTTTGTTGAATAAACTGTAAATTTCAAGAGACTTTTCTTCAATGTTGAAAAGTATTTTGTAGTGTCTGCAGCCATAGGATGTTTTTGATGAGTTTGAGACATAATCAGATAAAACTAGGAACAATCCTTTTCATAAATAAATGTGCTGATATAGACCTTTTGTTTTCTTACACCACTAAGCACTTTAATTGCTCTTGACTTTTCAACAAAAGTGTAACAAAAATGTGACCACCGACTGTGACCAGGCCGAACATATTACCACTTCTAAAAGGCATACTTTTCTGTCGATTGAAACTAAAATTTCCAACCAATGACGCCTCTACTGTTAAACCCAACTCACTCACATTCATGCTCAAGTGGGGGGCACAGGTGGCCCAGTTGTCTGAGGCGCTGCCATTTGCTGTGCAGAGTTGCGTTCTTTGGGCACGCCAGAAACCTATGATTGTGGGTTTTCGAATCCCAATTCGCCTGATTATGTTTCTAGGTTTGTCAGCACCATACCCATGCTCGTGGGTTTCACCGAAGTGGTAAACGTCTGAGACCTGCATCACTCTGTGCTTTCCTCCCACATTAAGCTGACACGCCGCGATAAAACTGGAATACTGTTAAAAGCGGCGTTAAACCCAACACACTCTCTCACTCACTCATGCTCCAGTGTTTGAATGGTAATTAATGTCTAGCTTAACAATTTGTAACAAGTTGTGCCACAAACAAAAAGTTACTGAACTGTAAGTCTATAAATTGATGATTTATTTGGGGTTGTACTGAATATTTGTTGAAAGTTTTTGCAGTTGAGTGTGAAGTTATGGTTATCAAATCCATCTGGGACTATGGTAGAAATATTTGTAATCTCCAGATTTCTCATGTGATTAAGCATGTGGAAACTGATGATTCGGAAAGTATTATTCCTTACCAAAAAACGACATCAACAGTTTCATCTTTATGATATGCAGAGAAAATATTTGTTGTAAATAATGTAACCAAAAAACTCCAAGAAAATATACTTGTAAGCAGAATATTGCATTTTCCCATGAATTCAAGCCATAAGTTTCCTTCTTGTATATTCCTGAACGATTGTTCTTATCTTAATGGAGCTCTTCTCGTTGGCCCCCTGTGAGTTGATGAATGTGATGCAGAGAGTAATAATTTCATGGATGGGCGATTCCACGGAAAAAATGCTTGCCTTCAAAAAGAGCGTGGTTTGCCTATATGAGCCCAGCCGATTGGTTTCACAAGCACTAATTTGTGTTTATACAGTGGAATAGAGGGTTGGAATAACTTAGTGCAAATTTGTGTACATTTTGTTTACCTAATTGAACACGGTAGTGTTTTTTTCATTTGCTGTATATGATGAGGCGTGTAACGATGGTGGCGTGACATACGGCCATGACGCAGAGTTTTTCCACTCACTAATGATGCACTGATAGAAGGACTGCGGAAATAACGCAAGAAGCTCTGGCAGTGTTGGGGCATGTTTATGATGTGGTGTACTCAGTGATGGTGACAATGGCACACAGACCGTGTTGTGGTGTCAAAACCTGGCAATAAAAGACTCGTTAACAAGACTTGTTTTATGTGAACCATGTTGTGTTTTGTTAGAACATCCAGGTTTGTATCTTGTTGTCTGTTGGCGGTGATGATGTGTAAGAATGGGAGATTGTGGCGATTGTTCGGCTGAAGATGTCCTGGAAATAACATCTTTTTCATCAGCTTTATTGAATCTTTTTACCATCGTATGATTTAGAGCTGTTGCCTTTTGTTTTTCTTTCCATTGTGGGGTAAATGTTTGGAATTTTCATTGCTCTGCAAAACGGCTTTGTTCAGTTTCATAAACTTAAGAGCGGATATATCACCTATTGCTTGCTGTGTTTTGACGTCTGCTGT